CTTGGGCTTAAGTGATTCTCTTGCCTCAGCCTCCTGAGTAGCTGGGACTACAGGTGCCCATCACAATGCCTGGCTATTTTTTTGTTGCAATTGTCATTGTTGTTTAGCTGGCCTGGGCCAGGTTTGAACACGCCAGCCTGGGTGTATGTAGCCAGGCCCTACCCACTGAGCTACAGGCACTGTCATCTGCTTGCTCTTATAAGGGCATTTGTCATTGGCTTTAGGGCTCATCGTAATCTGGGGTAATCCCATCTCAAGATCATTATCCCAATTACATTTGCAAATACATTTATTTCAAATAAGGTCACATAATGAGAGTCCAGGTGGATATACATGTATGTTTGGAGGCCACTGTTCAATCCACTGCAAGACCCTATAATTGTACCCATTTTATAAATACGGAAACTGAGGTCCAGAGAGGAGGGAGATCTTCACTGTCAAGCAGGAGCTTGAACTAGGGTCTGATTCCCTCAAAGGGAGCCTTCTGAAGCACAGCATCTTCCACCCCCCAGGCGAATGGTGTGGACATGAAACTGCCCCTGGTGCTAGCCGAGGGCCAGATCCGTGCCTCCCAGCATGGCGTGGATGTTGTGATTCAGACTGACTTTGACCTGCGTGTGGTGTATGACCTCCAGTACAATGTGCGAGTCACCGTCCCAGGCAACTACTACCAGCAGATGTGTGGCTTATGTGGTGACTACAACGGTGACCCCAAGAATGACTTCCAGAAGCCCGATGGTTCACAGGCAGAAAATCCCAATGAGTTTGGCAACTCTTGGGAGGAGGCAGTGCCTGGCTCCCCGTGCCTGCCACCGCCCACTTGCCAGCCAGGGGACAAGGACTGCAACCCCAATCCCCAGTGTCCTGCTGAGCTGGAGAGCAAGTATCAGAAGGAAGAGTTCTGTGGGTTCCTTACCAGCTCCAAAGGGCCGCTGGCCTCCTGCCACAAGCTGGTCAACCCCCAGGGTCCCTTGCAAGATTGTGTCTTTGACCTGTGCCTGGGTGGCGGTGACCTGAACATTCTCTGCAACAACATCCATGCCTATGTGAGTGCCTGCCAGGCTGCTGGAGGCCACGTGGAGCCCTGGAGGACCGAATCTTTCTGTCGTGAGTGACGGGAGACTGAGGGGCAGAGAGAGGGTGACGCTGAGGGGTAGGATGTGGGGAGACTGAGGCACAAGGGTTAGAGCCTGGGCCTGAAGCCCCTCCCTCCCAGGGCTCTGATCAGCCCCACTCCTTGCAGCGATGAAGTGCCCCCCCAACAGCCACTATGAGGTCTGTGCAGACACCTGCTCCCTGGGCTGCTCTGCTCTCAGTGCCCCACCGCAGTGCCCGGATCAATGTTCTGAGGGCTGCCAGTGTGACTCCGGCTTCCTCTATGATGGCCAATCCTGCGTGCCCATCGAGAAATGTGGCTGCTACCACAACGGCATCTACTATGAGGTAGGAACCCCTGGTTCTGCACCAGGTGCCTCATCCTACACCCCTCCCACTGCTTATCAGCCCTACAACCTGTCCACTCAGCCTCTTGAGTGTCTCCCCCAGGGGTCCTCAAACTTTTTAAACAGGGGGCCAGTTCACTGTACCTCAGACCGTTGGAGAGCCGAACTGAGGGCCCCAGGACGAGTTGGTTGCTAAGCATAGGGTGACCAGACATCCCGCTTTTGGCGGGACAGTCCCGCTTTTCAACAATATGTCCCGCTTCCAGCGGCGTTTTAAAAAAGTTCCGATTTTTGGAAAGAATGCACTAACGGGCGGGAGAAAAGGAAGGGAATATATTTTTGGCTGCCATGTGGCTATTTCGCCAGAATGAGTTTTATATTATTTTTGTTAATTTTATAATGTTAAACTGTAATAATAACAAATAATTGCTGAGAAGTGATTATCGAGAACTGCTTATCAAAGTTTTCATTGTTGTCAGGCCCTGCACTGCCCCGTCCCCTGCCCCGCCTCTGACCCCCCACCCCCATGTTATCCTGCCTTACCCATGTTAAAATCTGGTCACCCTAGCTAAGCAGGACAGGCAGCAGCGGCAAAAACACCTGGCGGGCTGGATAAATGTCCTCAGCAGGCCGCATGTGGCCTGTGGGCTGTAGTTTGAGGACACCTGGCCCAACTCTCCCCCCCTTGCCATGACCTCATCTTGGTCCAGATTGTCCTCTCCTACCTAAGTCCCTCCCAGTCCCTAATGTTGTTCCCCCTGGTCCACCCTCCACATAGCTATGGTAAAGACGTTTCTAAATATGACCATGGGAGTCCAGCTTTAAACTCTCCTCTGGCTCCCTAGGTCAAGTTTTGGCTTTGTTCTTTTTTTTTTCTTTTGGGACAGAGCCTCACTCTGTTGCCCTGGGTAAAGTGCATGGTGTCATCATAGCTCGCAGCAACTTAAAACTCCTAGGTTTATGTAATCCTCTTTCCTCAGCCTCCCAAGTATCTGGGACTATAACCATGCACCACCATGCCCAGCTAGTTTTTATATTTTTAGTAGAGACAGGATCTCACTCTTGCTCCAGCTGGTCTGGAACTCCTGAGCTTAAGCAATACACTCTCCTTGGCCTCCCAGAGTGCTAGGATTACAGGCAAGGTTGTGGCTTTGTATCTTAAGTCTGGGCAAAGGTGGCTTCCTGATCACAAAGGTGGGATTTTCCTCTGTTACACCAGCTGCTAACTCCCTCTGCTTCCCTCTCCCACTCTCTTGCAGTGAGTCCTTTTTCTTTGACTTGAGTGTGTGTGTGTCTAAAATCCATCTCCTTCCCAGGTCTGCCAGCTCTCTGGGGACAGGGACCTCTCTGTTCTCCTCACATGAATAATAACAGCAAACATGTAGATGGTGCTTAATAGGAGCCTGTTACTGTTTTAGCACTGTATGTGTGTGTTTTATACATGCATATGTATAATATATGCAAATAAACTTTCTATTATGAAAATTTCAAACATGCAGAAGTTGAGAGAATAATGGGGTAGACCTCTAGCTATGTATCCATGACTTAGCTTAAAAAATAATCAATATTTTCCCAATCTTGTTTCATCTCCTGCCTTTGTCTTCATGAGGACATCTCTGTGTGTCTCTTTGACTTCTTCTCTTCTGGCTCTTATAAGGGCACCTTGTCATCAGATTTAGGGCCCACCCTAATCTGGTAATCTCACCTCAAGATCATTATCCTAAATACATTTGTAAAAACCCTTATTCCAAATAAAGTCATGTAATGATCTCCTCCCCCTTCCCCAGTCCTCTCTGATTTCGATTATCTAAAGGAAATCCCTTTTCATTTCATCTTCACTTTCCATGTATTGTTAAATCAGTTATACTTTCATAGGTAAGTGCTATTCTCTATAATTTACAGATGAGGAAACTGAGGCACAAAGAGGTTAAGTGATTTGCCCAGAGTTAAACAGTTTGGAATAGCAGAAACAGGCTTAAAACCAAGGCAATCTGCTCTTAATTGCTATGTCACACAGTCTCTCCTACAGCAGAAATTTAGTGAAATTTTTGGAATGAATGAATGAATAAGTGAATAAAAGTGAATGGATAAATGAATGAACTGGGCCCCAAAGCCATGCCATACCTCAGTTTTGCAGACAAGGGTTTATTCTACTGAGAGATGATCCCTTTCATGTCTGCCAGACCCCTCTGTGCCAGGAACACCAGGCATGCAGGAGTTGGCTTCCACAGTGGGGTCTCTGATGGCTATGCCTTCTGTGTCCCCACAGCCACAGCAGACGATCCTCAGTGACAACTGTAAGAAGCAGTGTACATGCCACGCAGGTCAAGGCGTGGTGTGCCAGGAACACAGCTGCAAGCCGGACCAGGTGTGCCAGCCCTCTGGAGGCGTCCTGAGCTGTGTCCATAAAGGTGCTGGACAAGAATGTGGCTGATGTGACTAGGGACAGAGGACAGGGACTCTGGAGCTGACAGTGGCATGAGTGGGATGTTCACAATGGGTGGTGCACAAGACTAAGAATTGAGGCCTCAGCCTGGCGATCCCTCGGTGGGTTTCTTGGAGCCTGGAGCCACTATGGGAGGCAGGGACCATTGTGGGGAAATCTGGACTGTAGGGACCCTCATGGTGAGGCTTCCCAGAACAGATGCCAGAGACCCTCAGTATAAAGCAGGGAAAGGAATGCTTTTTCTCTAAACATCTAGGTGGCAAATATTTAAACTTGCAGGCCATAAGGTCTTGGTCACAATGACGCAGCTCTGTGATTGTGGCATGAGAACAATCACAGGGTATTTAGGTGAAGAGGTGCAGCTCCAGTTAAACTTTATAACACAATACCAAGCCTCCTGATATGCCACCGTTTGCTGTCCACTGGTATGTGGGAGCAGGCTCAGGGCTTCACACCCCAGCACTGAAGGGCATGGGAGAGACTGGACTCCTCAGGGGTAGAGACAAGAAAACAGAGTTCTGAGGCAAGAGAATCGCTTAAGCCCAGGAGTTTGAGGATGTTGTGAGCTGTGATGCCACAGCACTCTACCAAGGGTGACATAATGAAACTTTCTCAAAAAAAAAAAGAATACAAGCATAGCAGATACAGGGAGCAGCCAGTACCTCTAGGGCCAGATCAGAGCATGTAAGGATGGAGAAATTGGAAAGGGGGCCCCCACAGTAAGGCTGATTCAGATCTCATTGGAGAGGGTGCAGCTGTAGCTCACTGGGTGGGAGAGAGGTTCGTGCAGGCTGAGTTTGTGAAGGGAACCCATCACTGAGAAGCCAGCCGGGGCTGGTGGACCTCCTTGACGTGGTCTCACACACCAGCAGGAGCTGGCAGAGCAGAACAGGTTGGAAGCCAGACCAGGAGCGCCACCGTTCTCGTGGTGACTCATGAGTGCCCTCTACTGACAAAACTTAACTCCATGGGTGGATTTGATGCTGAGAGGCAGGAAAGTGACAATTGGCACAGGCAAGAGGAAGACGCTTGAAGGCTGGTGTCTTGCACACAAGGTTTCCAAAAGCAGGGATCACAGACATAGCAATCCTAGGGAAAAGGCCTTTAACACTTTACACATAGGCCCACAGAAATGAGACCACTTCCAGGGCTAGTGTCTCAGACTTAGCAACCCTCAGGGGTGGAGTCTCACACAGAGGGATACCCAGACTGTGTGACTTAGATATGGGACCCCAGGATTTGAGTTCTAACATTGGGACCCTTGGCACAGGGCTCTTATCAAAGATCCTCCAGGACCCTAATCTTGGTCACAGAGACCTCCAGGATGTGGGTCTTAGATGTGGAGACCCCCAGGTGGCTGGGATCTCAGGCGTGGGTTCCCTGGGGTCCAAGTCTTGAACACAGAGAACCCTGGGGCTGGGGTCTCAGACATGAATGCCTTCAGGGCTGGCATCTCAGATATAGGGACCCTTGGGGCTCAGGTCTCAACCTGGGTTCCCTGGTGCTGAGATCTTAAGCAAGAAAACCCTGGAGACTTAATCTCAAATAGAAAACTACAGGGCCTGGGTCTTGGACATAGGGACCCTTGAGCCTGGGTCTCAGCTATAGGGCCTGGCTCTTAGACATGAGGACTCTGGAACCTGGTCTAACTCTCAGAGCCAGTATCCCTGGCATAGACTGGGGCAGATGCAGGGCAGCAGCTGTCCTTATAGTGGGCAGCCTCTAAAGGTCTTCTCTCCTTTGCCCCCAGACCCGTGCCAAGGTGTGACATGCCGGCCACAGGAGACTTGCAAGGAGCAGAGTGGCCAGGGTGTGTGCGTGCCCAACTATGAAGTCAAATGCTGGCTGTGGGGTGACCCACACTACCACTCCTTCGATGGCCGCAACTTTGACTTCCAGGGCACCTGTAACTATGTGCTGGCAACAACTGGCTGCCAGGGGGTCAGTGCCCAGGGCCTGACACCCTTTACTATCACCACCAAGAATGAGAACCGGGGCAACCCCTCTGTGTCCTACGTGAGGCTCGTCACTATAACTACCCTCGGCACCAACATCTCCATCCACAAGGGCGAAACTGGCAAAGTCCGGGTATGTTTGGCGGGATGGTCCCCTGAGCTCCCAGGTCCTGGAAAGCACAGTTCAGAGCTCAAGATTCTCTGTCTTCACCAAGGCCTGAAACAAAATGACAACACAAACAACATGGTGGCGCCTGTGGCTCAATGAGTAGGACACTAGCCTCATATACCGAGGGTGGCGGGTTCGAACCTGGCCCTGGCCAAACTGCAACAAAAAAAGTAGCCAGGCATTGTGGTGGGCACCTGTAGTCCCAGCTACTCAGAAGGCTGAGGCAAGAGACTCAGAGTTGGAGGTTGCTGTGAGCTGTGACGCCATGACACTCTACCAAGGGTGACAAAGTGAGACAATGTCTCAAACAACAACAACAACAGCAATAATTACCACAAAAATAGCATCTTTTTACTGGGAATTAAACAAGCCTAATGGCTGAGCACAGGTGGCTCAGGGCAGGTGCAGAGTGGCTCATGCCTATAATCCCAGAACTCTGGAAGGCCAAGGTGGTGGATTGTTTGAGGTCAGGAGTTCAAGACTCGCCTGAACAAGAAAAAGTGAGACCCCATCTCTACTAAAAACAGAAAAACCAATTGGGCATGGAGGTGGGTACCTATAGTCCCAGATACTCAGGAGGCGGGGCAAGAGGATTGCTTGAGTCCAAGAGTTTGAGCTTGCTGTAAGCTATGACACCATGGCACGCTACCCAGGGCAAAAGAGTGAGACTCTGTCTCAAATAAATAAATAAAAATTTAAAAACAGACAGCACCTATAGCTCAGTAGGTAGGGCCTCAGCCACATACACTGAGGCTGGCAGGTTAGAACCCAGCCTGGGCCAGCTAAAATCAACAATGACAACTGCAACAAAAAAATATCTCGGCATTGTGGTGGGCACACTTAGTCCAGCTACTTGGGAAGCTAAGGCAAGAGAATCTCTTAAGCCCAAGAGTTTGAGGCTGCTGTGAGCTGTGACAGCATGAATTCTACTAAGAGCGACACAGTGAGACTCTGTCACAAAAGAAAAAAAAAATTACAAAACAAAAACAAGCCTAGCCCTCTGCTAAGGGCTTTAATGTAGGACTTTAGCATTTGCCTTTATATAGGCCTGGTTTTGAATCCAGCCTCTCCTCCTCATGAACTACAGGATGTTGGGCAAGGAACTTTATTTGGTGGGCCTCAGTTTTCTCATCTGTGAAACAGGCATCGGGCATCGTAGCGGTCAGGCTCCACAGCAAGATGGTGCATGCCTACTGCTCAGCTCCAAGTCTGAGAGAAATTCAGGGAGATGTGGGGAGAGATAAGAGCCATGCCTTTTGCCTAAGGAAATAGAGATGCAGATTACTGACCGCTCACAGGAAGAAAGTGAGGTCCTGAACAGGACAGGTACTAAATAAGTGGTGGTGGGTGAGTGGAAGTGATGTCCAGACACACAGAGATGCACAGAGAATACGGAGGGAGTGAGGAAAGAGGAGAGAGAGACAGAGAGAAACTCAGAGACATAAAGGAAGACAGGAAGATCCAGAGACAGGCAGAGCTAGGTGAAGAGAGAGTAAGAAACACAGAGAGAGAGAGAGAGAGAGAGGAGGGAGACAGAGGTCAAGAGAGAGCCAGAAAAAGTAGAGTGAGGTTTTATTCCCCGGGGCCTGGACTAGTACAGATTTCCACAATGTTTGTCAAATAACAATGCAACTGTCAGTGGTAAGAAAGGCCTTGGCAACTCCCAGGCATTGGTAGGATGAGAGGGAGGCAGGGGGCAGAAGCGGAGACCTCTCCGCCTCCAGTAACTCCTGTTTGCCTCCTTTCCCCAGGTGAATGGTGTGCTGACAGCACTGCCTGTCACTGTGGCCGGTGGGCAGCTTTCAGTGACCCATGGCTCGTCAAAGGCAGTGCTGGCAACTGACTTTGGGCTGCAAGTCACCTATGACTGGAATTGGCAAGTGGAGGTGATACTGCCCAGTAGCTATTATGCTGCGGTGTGTGGGCTCTGTGGGAACATGGATCGCAACCCCAACAATGACCAGGTCTTCCCTAATGGCACACTGGCTCCCTCGATACCAATTTGGGGTGGCAGCTGGCGAGTCCCAGGCTGGGATCCACTGTGCTGGGACGAATGTAAGGGGTCCTGCCCAACATGCTCTGAGGACCAGATGGAGGAATATAAGGGCCCTGGCTTCTGTGGACCTCTGGTCCCAGGCACAGGGGGCCCCTTTGCTGCCTGCCATGACCACGTGGCACCTGATAGCTTCTTCAAGGGCTGTGTTCTAGATGTCTGCCTGGGAGGCGGGGCCCATGACATACTTTGCCAGGCGCTGGCTTCCTATGCTACCGCCTGCCAGGCTGCAGGGATTGTCATCAAGGACTGGCGGACGCAGGCTGGCTGTGGTGAGTGTTAAGACAGTGGAGCAGGAGCAGGGGACAGGGTTCTGTCTCTGTAGGGCTGGTTTGATTTCATTCCAGTCCTTTTTCTGTCCTTCTGTTCCTTGGCACCTCTCTCTTTGTGTCATTTGATTGTCTCTGTCTCTCTGTTTGTCACTCTCTCTCTCTGTACCTCCCTCGGTTTCTGTCTCTCTCTCTCTCGTTTCTTTCTCTGTGTCCCCTCTCTGTCTCACTGTCTCTCCCTATTTTCCTTTGCTCCTCTTTGTCTCTCTGTCTCCATCTCCTCCCACCCTGTCCTAGGACACCCCTAACACCAATCTCTGTTTTTCTCCTTCCTGCTCCCTCATCTGCCCACAGAGATCTCCTGCCCAGACAACAGCCACTACGAGCTCTGTGGTCCTCCTTGCCCAGCCAGCTGCCCATCCCCAGCTCCTCGCCCACCCTCAACCCCATGTGATGGTCCCTGCGCTGAGGGTTGTCAGTGCAACCCAGGCTTCGTCTTCAGTGCTGACCGCTGCGTTCCTCTGCAAGGCGGCTGTGGCTGCTGGGCCAACGGTACCTACTATGAGGCGAATAGCAAGTTTTGGGCAGATGACACCTGCTCTAAGTGGTGTCATTGTGAGCCTGGGAGTGGCTCACTAGTTTGCAAGCCTGCCAGCTGTGGGGTGGGTGAAGAGTGTACCCTCCTTCCCTCTGGCCAGCTTGGCTGCCATCCCATCAGTACGGCTGAGTGCCAGGCGTGGGGTGACCCTCATTACATCACCCTGGATGGGCACAAATTCGACTTCCAAGGCACCTGCGAATACCTGCTGAGCGCACCCTGCCCTGGTTCAGCCACAAAGGCTGAGAACTTCGCAGTCACTGTAGCCAATGAGCATCGGGGCAGCCAGGCTGTCAGTTACACCCGCAGCGTCACCCTGCATATCTACAACCACAACCTGACCATGAGCGCCCGCTGGCCGCGGAAGCTACAGGTGAGGACAGCTGTGGGTCCCAGGGTTGCCTGAGATGGTAAGGAGTCCACCATTCCCCTGAGCACTTTTCATAGCTTAGCTGATGCATGACGGAGAGGTTCAGAATACAGGTCTATAAGCCAGAGGGCTTGAAGCAGTGACTTCCCCCTCTCTAAGCCTTAGCTTATTCCTCTGTAAAATGAGTCTAAGAAAAGTGCCTGCATCAAGAAAGCCTGAGAAGCCAGTGACATCGTGTCTATTGATTATAAGAGAAGAAGTTGCGTGCTCAAGAGAACCAAAGGCAATGGAGCCAAGATTCAAACCGTATTTGCGCCGCTCACTGCCCCTCCTCTCCCTCCTGCAGGTGGACGGCGAACTCGTGGCTCTGCCCTTCCAGTTGGACACGCGTCTCCGCGCTTACTTGAGTGGCGTCGACGTGGTGGCAACCACGACCTCCGGACTTTCGCTGTCTTTCGACGGGTCCAGCTCATTGCGCCTGCGCGTGCCGGCGGCATACGCGGGCGTCCTCTGTGGCCTGTGCGGGAACTACAACAAGAACCCCGCGGACGACCTGACTGCGGTGGGCGGAAACCCAGCCGGCTGGAAGGTGGGAGGCGCCCCGGATTGCGGGGAGTGCGTCCCTGGGCCGTGCCCCAAACCGTGCACACCAGAGCAGCAGAAGCCTTTTGGGGGCCCAGACGCTTGTGGAGTGATCTCCACCACCGACGGTCCGCTGGCGTCCTGTCACTCCCTGGTGCCGCCAGAGAAGTATTTCCAGGCCTGCTTACTGGACGCCTGCCAAGCTCAGGGCCATCCAGGAGGCCTCTGCCCTGCCATTGCTGCCTATGTGTCAGCCTGTCAGGCGGCTGGGGCCCAGATCGAAGAGTGGAGGCGGCCGGACTTCTGTCGTGAGTACTGACCCACACATGTCCACTTAGTAGTGTTTTTCTCCGCCCTTTCCTGGACAAGAGCCTTCCTTCCTACATGGTACTCAGGGACCACCCTCCTTCCCCTGAGCCAGGTACCTCCCATCAGAGAAACACGTTACCTTCACACACTCAGATACACCAGGTCAGGTGCAGCAGTGAGACCTTAGGCCAGGACACACTCAGGGATTCATCAGCCATGAGCTCAGGTCTCCAAGTGATATAGATCAGGGTGACTGGCCCTGTCACACAGCAAATACCCCGTCAGAGAGACTCAGTGAGTTACATCTGATTGGATGCCTCTTGACTGTTCACATGCTGAAATGTACCTAGTCACATAGAATGGGTCACATACCTTCAGTAGTATCTGGCTAGATTATACACTGAAACAAACCAGTCAGATGCACCCAGAAGGAATCGGGATTCTGATGTAGCTCCAGGCAGATCCATAGACTCACAGTTAGATAGCCCTGGGCAGTTCCTTCAGAGAGATCTCCTTGATCAGATTTATACTGTCACACCTGGAAACAGGTCATGTCAGAGAGATGCTGGCAGTTGCTCTGGGTAGACAGCCACAACTCCAGCAGGGAGGTATGCTCAGGCAGATTCATGCCCCAGTCACATTCACACGCTCAAATGCCCATAGTTGGTTCTTGCCTGGCTAGTCTTTCTATTTTTAGTAGAGACAGGGTCTCACTCTTGCTCAGGACGGTCTCAAACTCCTGAGCTCAGGCAATCCATCCACCTTGGGCTCCCAGAGTGCTAAGATTAGAGGCCACTGTGCCTGGCCTGGCCCCACTGTTGGTTCTAATCCAACCAGATATACCAGATCGTATTCACCCAGGCGGAGTCACATAACCTGGACAGAGACTTAGTTAAACACCCCATCCCAGCTCCCATGCTAAACGCCTCAGTCAGCTGTGCTGGATCAGATGCCTAAACCCCTTGATACCCGGGGTGACCCAGCAGTTCTCCCTTGGGACCTCTTCCTGGGGCGGGGAGGGGGGGGTCCAAGCCTGTCTGGTTCTTCCTTACTTTGTCTCTTCCTCTGCCTCCCCTGCCACACCTACCTGGCTTATTTCATCCCCACCTTGTCCCCGCAGCCTTCCAGTGCCCTGCCCACAGCCACTATGAGCTCTGCGGTAACTCCTGTCCTGTGAGCTGCCCAAGCCTCTCAGCCCCTGAGGGCTGCGAGCCAGCCTGCCGTGAGGGCTGTGCTTGTGATGCTGGTTTTGTGCTCAGCGGCAACACGTGTGTACCGGTGGGCCAGTGTGGCTGTCTTCACGATAGCCGCTATTACCCACTGGGCGAGGTCTTCTACCCGGGTCCCGAGTGTGAGCGACGCTGTGAATGCAAGCCAGGTGGCCAAGTCACCTGCCAGGAGGGCATGGCCTGTAGGCCCTATGAGGAATGCCGGTTGGAGAATGGTGTCCAGGGCTGTCAACCCACGGGCTGTGGCCGCTGCCTAGCCAGCGGGGGCATCCACTACATCACCCTTGATGGACGTGTCTATGACCTACACGGCTCTTGCTCCTATATCTTGGCCCAAGTCTGCCACCCAAAGCCTGGGGATGAGGACTTTACCATTGTGCTTGAGAAGAATGCTGCTGGAGACCCCCAACGCTTGGTGGTTACTGTGGCTGGTCAGGTCGTAGGCCTGGCTCGGGGACCACAGGTGAGTGGACACTAACCCACCCAGGGGGTTCTGAGGAGACATGACCCTGCTCTGTAGGGTCTGAGAGGAAAATTGCCCCAATCCAGGGGTTCTCAGGGGAATACAGCTCTACCCTGGAGGGTCTGTGAGGGATGGTCCCACCCTGGCAATTGGGGGGGGGGAACCCTAATGGACTGAGGGAGACACAGCTTTGCCCTAGGGCTAAGTCCCTGTGGTTCTGTAAGTCCCTGACCTACCTGCCCTTTCTACCTAGGTCACTGTGGATGGCGAGGTTGTGGCCCTGCCTGTGGCTATGGGCCATGTGCGGGTGACCGCTGAGGGCCGAAACATGGTTCTGCAGACGACCAAGGGACTTCGGCTTCTCTTTGATGGGGATGCCCACATCCTCATGTCCATCCCTAACCCCTTCCGTGGACGACTTTGTGGCCTCTGTGGAAACTTCAATGGCAACTGGAATGATGACTTTGTCCTGCCCAATGGCATAGCAGCCCCCAGTGTGGAAGCCTTCGGAGCTGCATGGCGGGCACCCAGCTCCTCCCAGGGCTGTGGTGAGGGCTGCGGACCCAGTGGCTGCCCCGTGTGCTTTGCAGAGGAGACAAAACCATATGAGAGCAACAAGTTCTGTGGGCTGCTCCGTGACCCCAAGGGCCCATTTGCGACCTGCCATGCCTTGCTGAGCCCCTCTGAGTATTTCCGCCAATGTGTGTATGACCTGTGTGCCGAAAAGGGTGACAAAGCCTTCCTCTGCCGCAGCCTGGCAGCCTACACAGCAGCCTGTCAGGCTGCTGGCATAGCTGTGAAGCCCTGGAGGACGGACAGCTTCTGCCGTGAGTATCTGTAGGTCCCTCAGAGGACTCCAGACTAGGGATGGGGGTGGCTTCCGACCCATTCCTTCTCTCTGCATCTAAATCAGGCTCTCCCTCCCCCCACGCCCCCTTCTCCCGCAGCATTCTCTGCCAGCTTTCCGCCTACCTCACTGACTGCTCTTCTCAGACTCCTTACAAGGGCCCAGTCTCCTCAAACCTCAAATTCACTTCTTCCCTGGGGCTCTGTCCTGGACTAGTTCTGCAGTGACCTGAAAGGGACAGTTGGATGGGTCAGGCAGTACACAAAATAGAACCTGAATGTGAGGCTCACCCAGACCCCCCAAGACAAAACTGCATCCCCTCACATCCCCCCCAGTACAAGACCGCCGCTCATTAGACACCTTCTCAAACCAAGACTGTACCTCTCCTTTAAATCCCAAGGCAGGAACATGTCTTCTTCAGTCTCCTCAGGGCAGGCCCTACACCCAGGGCCACCGCCCATACCCACAGTCCTGGATTTGTTCAGTGTTGACAGTGGACCTTGTCTGGTTCCAGCCCCAGCCCCAAACTCTCTCCTGACTGCCTGCCCCCCGGGGTCCCAAGGCCTCCTGGACACCTTCCCGTGGATGTCATTGGAGTTTCTCACAACTGCTGTGTTCCCAAGTGGAACCAGCATTTCACCCCTAACCTGGTCCTTCTTTCCCCCAACCCAGTGCCCATCTCAGGACAGCTACACCATTCATCAGTTGCTTAGCCAGAGCCCACCACTTTACCTGGGATGTTTCCCTTTGGTCCTCACAGCCCCTGTCCCAACTCCATCTTTCTGCAGTGACCTGAAAGGGACAGTTGGGTGCCAGTGCCCCTCATCCTACCTGGCCCCTCTCCCTATTCCCCCAGCTCACTCCAACCCCTCCATCCATGCTCCCCATCCTAGCCCTGACACCTCTACCAATGTCCCCATCCCACCCAAAGCCCCTGCCCATGCCTTCCTATCCCACCCAAATCCCTGGCCATGCCTCCCCATTCACACCCCTACCCTTCTCCCATACCCCTCATCCCAACCCTGACCCCCATGCCCATGTCCCCGTCTCACCTAAACCCCCTGCCCATGCCGCCCCATCCCACCCAAACCCCCTGCCTGTGCCTCCCCATCCCACCCAAACCCCCTGCCCGTGCCTCCCCATCCCACCCAAACCCCCTGCCCATGCCTCCCTATCCTGCCCCACCCCTCTGTCTGTCCTTCCTCGGTGCAGCATGTTCATTTGGGGCAGTCATCATCTGTCTCACCAGATGAGAACTCTGAGGCTCTTATCACTGGGTCCTCAGCACCACCTAACCTAGAGCTTGGTGCATAGTAGGTCCCATTAGTTATCCCCTTGCCCTGTGGATGTGACCAGCCTTGCCTCCTCTCTCTGCAGCGCTCCAGTGCCCTGCCCACAGCCACTACTCTGTCTGCACACGCACCTGCCAGGGCTCCTGTGCGGCTCTCTCTGGCCTCACAGGCTGCACCACCCGCTGCTTTGAGGGCTGTGAGTGCGACGACCGCTACCTGTTCTCCCAGGGTGTCTGTATCCCTGTTGAGGATTGTGGCTGCACCCACAGTGGCCGATACTTGCCAGTGAGTACGGGCCTGAGGTGGGCAGAGAGGATGGAGCTTTTGTGATGCCACCATTTCCCAGCTGTGTGATTTGATGCAGGCAACCTCCCTTTATCAGTTTTCTGTGGCTGCTATAACAAATTACCATAGACTGGATGGCTTAAAATAAGAGACGTCCATTCTCCCACTGTTCTGGAGGCCAGAAGTCAGACATCAGGATCATTGGGCTGAAATCAAGGTGTTGCCAGGGTGGTGTTCCTTCCAGATGCTCTGGGGAGAAGCTGTTCCCTGCCTTCTCCAGCTTCTGGTTGCCGCAGGTGTTCCTTGGTGGTGGCCACACCACCCCTATCTCTGCCTCCCTTCCTCTGCATGTGTCATAAAATCTCCTTCTGCGTCCCTCTAATATGGAGAAATGTAATTGCATTTGGGGCCTACCCAGGTAATCCAGGATAAAATTTCCACCTCAAGATCCTTAATTTAAGTCGGGTGCAGTGGTTCATACCTATAATCCCAGCACTTGGGAGGCCAAGGCAGGTGGATTGCCTGAGTTCTCAGGTTTCAGACCTCATCTCTAAAATAAGAGCCAGGCATGGTGGCGGGTCCCAGCTACTTGGGAGGCTGAGGCAAGAGAATCACTTAAGCCCAAGAGTTTGAGGTTGCTGTGAGCTATGATACCACTGCACTCTACCAAGGGTGACAAAGTGAGACTCTGTCTCAAAAAAAAACATATCCTTGGGCAGCACCTGTGGCTCAAGGAGTAGGGGGCCAGCCCCATATTCCAGGGATGGCGGGTTCAAGCCTGGCCCTGGCCAAAAACTGCAAAAAAAAAAAAAAATCCTTAATTTAATCACTTCTGCAAATGTGTTGTTTGCATATAAGGTAGCATTTACTGCTTCAGGGGTGAGGACTTAGGGGGCCATCGTTTGACCTAGCACAGTTCCCTCCCTGAACTTCATTCTTTTTTCTTTCACCTGTAAAATGGGGTTAGTCATCATCATTGAGTCATAGGTGTCTGAAGATTGGGTTCGATCGAGCCAGAAACGTATCCACCGAGCCCTGAGCCTTGCCCTACATGTTCATCACACTTGGTAAAGAGAACAGCACAATAAGTAGCCCAGCTAACAATCTTTCAGTAGTATGAATCAAATTGAGTAATGGATTTATTCTCGTTAACAATATTTTCTGAGCACTTACTATGCACTGAGTTTGTCATGGGTGTTATTTAATTTAATAATCACAACAATCCTTTGAAATAGGTACTATTGCTATTTACCCCATGATGAAGAAATTGCAACATAGAGAATCAAGTCCAAGGCTCCCCCCAAATAAATGGCATTAACTTGGTACTACTTGCAAGCAGAGTCAGACTTTTGTCTTTCCTTCACTTATTACTACCTACTAGAAGCCATCCATAGTCCTCTAGGCTGGGTTAGATGCCACCTCTGGACTCTCATGGTCTGCTGGTCCCTCCAACCCATCCTAATCTCTCTGCCTGAGCCAAAAGTCTTAGATTCATTAGTCTGGCATAAGGTGGAAAGGTCTGGCATAGAGATATGAATGTGGGCATCATCAATATAGAGATGATATTTATCTTACTTGATTACATTCATTTATTTCTTTTAAAGTTTTCAAACTTTCATTTTTGAAGAATTCAAACTTGGCTCAGCACCCATAGCTCAGCGGCTAGGGCACCAGCCACACACACCAGAAGGTGGCGGGTTCAAATCCAGCCCAGGCCTGCCAAACAACAATGACAACTATAACCAAAAAAACAGAGAATCACTTAAGCCCAAAAGTTTGAGGTTACTGTGAGCTATGATACCACTGCACTCTACCAAGGGTGACAAAGTGAGACTCTGACTCAAAAAAAAATCCTTAATTGAATCACTTCTGCAAATATGTTGTTGGCATATAAAGTAGCATTTACTGGATGAATATTTTTCCCTGGGCGTTGTGGAAGGCACCTGTGGTCCCAGCTACTTGGGATGCTGAGGCAAGAGAATCGCTTGAGCCCCAAGAGTTTGAGGTTGCTATGAACTGTGATGCCATGACACTCCACCCAGGGCGAAATAGTGAGACTCCATCTCAGAAAAAAAAAAATGAAGAAGCCAAACTTAAGAAAAATTGCAGGTATAATACAAACAACTCCTGCTCTAAACTCAAATGCTTCAACTGTTGACTTAATGCTGTGTTTCCTCCATCATGCTCTGTGTATAAATATACAGTGTACATCTATGATTTTCTCTGAACCATTTGAGAGTACATCGCAAACATAGTGCCACTTTACTCCTAAATACTGTACCATGGATTTCCTAAGAATAAGGAAATTCATTTATATGGCACAGTACAATTATCAAAATCAGGAAATTAACATTGATTCAATACTATTATTTAATTTATAGATTTTTTTATTCCAATTTCACAAGTTGTCCCCGTAATATCCTCTATAACAATTACCAATCTCCGGGTTGCAGTCCAGTTGAAGTGCAGATACTGCTTTTAGTTTTCACAGGATTTTTTTTTTTTTTTTGAGACAGGAGCCTCAAGTTTTCCCCCTGGGTAGAGTGCTGTGGCATCACAGCTCACAGCAACCTCCAACTCCTGGGCTCAAGTGAGTCTCCTGCCTCCGCCTCCCAAGTAGCTGGGACCACAGGCGCCCGCCACAACACCTGGCTATTTTTTGGTTGCAGACGTCATTGTTGTTTGGCGGCCGGGGCTGGATTCGAACCCGCCACCTTAGGTGTATGTGGCTGACGCCTTAGCCACTTGAGCCACAGGCGCTGAGCCAGTTTTCACAAGATGTGATGAAGTCACCAAGTAGTGAATGGGGATAGAGAAGAAAAAGGTCTAAGGGCTCAGCGCCTGTAGCTCAGCGGCTAGGGTACCAGTCACATACCCCCCCAACTGGCAGGTTCAAATCCAGCACGGGCTTGCCAAACAACAATGACAACTACAACCAAAAAATAGCCGGGCACTGTGGCGGGCGCCTGTAGTCCCAGCTACTTGGGAGGCTGAGGCAAGAGAATTGCTTAAGCCCAAGAGCTGCAGGTTGCTGTGAGCTGTGGTGCCACAACGCTCTACTAAGGGCAACAAAGTGAGACTCCATTTCTAAAATAAATAAATAAATAAAAACATAGTCTTAAGGCCAACTCAGATTCATGGGGAGAGGAAATAAACTCCATTTCTTAATGAGAGTCTACTGCAAAATCACTCTGCCTGGATACAGAGGGTTGAAGAAGGACTGTGTCCATTTTTGCAATTCATCACACCTTCATAACCTGACCCTTTTCTGTGCACAGGTGAACTCCTCCTTGCTGACATCAGACTGCAGTGAGCGCTGTTCCTGTTCCTCAAGCACTGGCCTGACATGCCAGGCAGCTGGCTGCCCAGCAGACCGTGTATGTGAGATCCAGGCTGGAACCCGGGACTGCTGGGTCTCCCGAGGCCTCTGTTCTCTCTCTAAGGATGCCAACCTGACCACCTTTGATGGAGCCCACAGTTCTGTCAACTCTCCTGGCATCTATGAGCTTTCTTCCTCTTGCCCAGAACTACGGAAGACCATCCCCTGGTACCGTGTCATTGCTGATGTCCGCTGCCGTGGCAAAAATGAGGGTGTAGGCCAGATCCACATCTTCTTCAAGGATGGGATGGTGACAGTGACCCCACTCAAGGGCGTATGGGTAAGTCTGGGCTCGTGGAGGGGAGGGAATGATGGATATCTTCCGTGAATTTTCGTTTTTCCTATTGCAGTGTCCCTACATTCCTGGCTTCCTCTGTCTCGCTGTCTGTTTTCCTTTATCTGGGTCTCTGGAGTTTGGTCTCTGGATTTGTATTTGTTTCAATATTTCCAACTTAGTCCCTCTGTTCTGGCTGAGTTCTTGAGTAGCAAAAACACACGCAAGTAACAATAGTTTTGACATCAGTATCAATCAAGACTCCATTGGTTGCAAGAGACAGAAAATCAAATTCAAATTGCCTAAAGCAAAAGTTGAATTTATGGAGCAGTGCCTGTGGCTCAAAGGAGTAGGCCACTGACGCCATATGCCAGAGGTGGCGGGTTCAAACCCAGCGCTGGCCAAAAACTGCAAAAAAAAAGTTGAATTTATGGGTCCATACAACTAAAAAACTCAGGGCTAGAGCTTCAGGAGTAGTTGGATCCAGGTGCCCTGACAGTATTATGAGAAATATGTACCTCTATTGTTTAGGGTTGCTGGTCACTAAATCGACTTCATTCTTTTTTTTTTTTTTTTTTTG